AAACCCCCCCAACCCCCCCGTACCCTGCAGTCCTGCACCGCCTCGTCCAGCGGCACCACGCTGTGCTGCCGGTGGCCGCGCGCCTCGCGGCACACCACGCAGATGGCCGCCTCGTCCACCTGGCAGAAGAGCTTCAGCGGCTCCTGGTGCTTCTCGCAGAGCTCGGGGGGTCCCCCGGGGGCGCCGCCGGTGCCCGGGGGGGTGCCCGGGGGGCGCGGGGGCCGCGGGTGCAGCTGCCGGATGATCTGCACCATGTTGGCCAGCTGCAGGTTGGGGCGGAAGGAGCGCTGCAGGAAGGACTTGCGGCACTGCGGGCACGTGAAGACGGCGCGGCGCCGCCCTTCCTCTTCCTCCTCATCCTCATCCTCCTCTTCGTCATCGTCGTCCTCCTCTTCCTCCTCCACGTCTTCCTCCATCACGTCCTCGTCGTCCAAGTAAAGCCCCCCCCCGCCCGGCGCGGCGCCGCCCCCGGCCCACACGGCGGGTTCTTCCTCCTCTTCTTCCTCCTCTTCCTCCTCCTCCTCGTCCTCAGCTCCTTCTCCCCACAGCTCGCCTTCCTCCTCCTCCTCCTCCTCCTCCTCCTCCCACATGTCGTCGTCCTCCTCCGCGCCCACGCCGCCTTCCTCATCCTCCTCATCCTCCTGCTCCACGTCCAGCTCGTCCTCCTCCTCCAGCTCGTCCTCGTCTTCCTCCTCCTCCTCCTCCTCCTCGCCCAGCTCGGCGCCGCCGCCGGAGCCGCCCTGGCCGGGCTCGGCGCCGCCGCGGGCCCAGAGGCGGGAGATGCAGCCGCGGCAGAAGTTGTGCCCGCAGCCGATGGACACCGGGTCGGCGAAGTAGTCGAGGCAGATGGCGCAGATCGCCTCCTCCTGCAGCGTCTCCACCGGGTCCGGCCGCGAGCCGGGGCCGCCCAGCGCCGCCATGCCGGGGGCCGCCGCCTTCCTCCTCCTCCTCCTCTTCCTCTTCCCGCGGTGCCCAACCCGCGCCCAGCCCGGCCAGGCCCCGGCGGAGCCGCCTCGCCCCGGGCCGGGCCGCGCTAGGCCGCGCCGGGCCGCGCTAGGCCGCACCGGGCCGCGCTAGGCCGCACCGGGCCTCACCGGGCCTCGCCGCCGCGGCCCGCCGCGCTCTCACAGTGCCTGAGTTGCCTGTGTGTGCCTGCCCGCTGCTGTCCCGCTGCTGGCCCGGTGCCTCCCGGGGCTCTCCGCGTCTCTCCCGGCCGCGCTCGCCCGGCGGCGGCTCCGCCACAGACGGGAAACGCCGCGGCACTTCCGCCTTCCGGCGCGGGCCACGCCCCGTCTGCGCGGCGTGAGCGGAAGTGGCGGCGGTTGCCGGGCAACGCGGGAAGTGGAGCGGCGCCGCTTCCGCTGGGGTGTAGCTGTCCGCGCGACTCGGTGGTTTGGCGGACTGGGGGCGGGGTTGGAGGCGGGGCTGGGGCGGGGCGTTGGCGGATTTCCCCGCCCCCAGCGCGGCCCGGGGCGCTCCGAGCTCCCGGTCCCGGTTCCGGTCCCGTGCGGGTGTTTTGCCCCAAAATCTCTCATTTCCCCGGGTTTTTCCCCAAAATCTCTCATTTTCCCGCAGTTTTTCCCCAAAATTCTCCTTTTTCCCCAAAATCCCTCTTTTCCCCGCGGTTTTTGCAGCTGTTTTCCCCCAAATCCTCTCATTTTCCCGCGGTTTTTCCCCAAATCCTCTCCCTTTTCCCCAAATCCTCTCCCTTTTCCCCAAATCTCTCCTTTTTCCCCCAAATCCTCTCCCTTTTCCCCAAACTCTCTCCCTTTTCCCCGAAATCCTCTCCCTTTTCCCGCGGTTTTTCCCCAAACTCTCTCCCTTTTCCCCAAAATCTCTCCCTTTTCCCGCGGTTTTTCCCCAAAATCTCTCTCTTTCCCCCCAAATCCTCTCCCTTTCCCCCAAATCCTCTCCCTTTCCCCCCAAATTCTCTCCCTTTCCCCGCGGTTTTTCCCCAAATTCTCTCCCTTTTCCCACGGTTTTTCCCCCAAACCTCTCATTTCCCCCCGTTTTTCCCCAAATTCTCTCCCTTTTCCCCAAAATCTCTCCCTTTTCCCGCGGTTTTTCCCAAATCCTCTCTCTTTTCCCCCAAATCCTCTCCCTTTTCCCCAAATCTCTCCCTTGCCCGCCCTTCCCCTCAGCCCGCGGCGCGGAGCGCGCTCGGGTTTCTGTAGTGTAGTGGTTATCACGTTCGCCTCACACGCGAAAGGTCCCCGGTTCGAAACCGGGCAGAAACACTTCCCTTTTTGGGAGGGATTTTCTCACTTTTTGGGAGGGATTTCCCCACTTTTTTGGGAGGGATTTCCACACTTTTTTGGGATTGATTTTCCCAATTCTGTGCCGGATTTTCCCGCTTTTAGGAAGGGCAAAAATGCCTCAGAAAATGGACAAAAATCTTAAAAAACCTGGGAAATTTCTAAACTTTCTCAAGGTAAGCTAGGAAGTTAAAAACCAAGTGAATGCTGGAGGAATGTAAAAGGTAAAAGGGTTTAGGAAATGTAAAAATGCCTCAGAAAATGGACAAAAAGATTAAAAAACTGGGAAATTTCTAAACTTTCTCAAGGTAAGCTAGGAAGTTAAAACCGAGTGAATGCTGGAGGGATAGAAAAGGTAAAAGGGTTTAGAAAGTGTAAAAATGCCTCAGAAAATGGACAAAAAGATTAAAAACCTGGGAAATTTCTAAACCTGCTCCTAACCTTCCCAGCTGGGAAGTTAAAAACCGAGCGAATGCGTTTGTGTTTGTCACGAGGAACAAGAAAGAAAAAGAACGAATCCCCCGCGCGTGTCCTGCCCCCTTAAAGGGTCTGGGGGCTGCGTGGGCGGCCCCGGGGGGACATTTCCACCCGGCAGCGCTTCGCAGAAGTGGTGGCTGACATAAATAGGGCAGGAGATCTTTCTCCTTTTCAATGCCTTTATTAAAGAGATTCAGCTCAGGTGGGGAGAAATCGACGGGTCGCGCCCACGCCGCCGCTGTCCCCAAGAGTGGCACGGAGGAGGAGGGTGATGCAGCTCTGTCCGCTGGTCTGCAGGCAGAGCTGGGGACTGCGTCCTCACGGGAGATTCGCAGATTCCTACTTTTCAGATGGACACGGGCTCGCGGAAATATTCCAGGCACATGGAGCCGCCGCTTTTCGTTCAGGCCTTCTGCCCCCGGCGAGGATGAGGATGGAGAGGGGCGGAAAAGCCTCCCTGCTGGGCGCCAAGTCTCGGTCCCGGTGGGATTCCTGGGATGCGCGGCCCGGCCGCTCCCACCGGGTGGAAATCAGGGAAAAATTCCCCAATTTTGGCTGATGGCCGAAGGATTTCCCCGGGCTCTGATGGGTGGGTCCCTGCGCACCCTCCGGGCTAGAACCTCCCACCCCTCTCCCTGGATTTTTTTAGAATTTAAATTTAGGTTTTAAGAGATTTTTGTTGAGGTTTGTTGGGTTTTTTTTTTCCCTGGAAAGGTGAGAAAAGGAGGCGGGTTGCTCCCAGCCCCTGGATCTCTCTGCGCCTCTAAAAAATTGAGCAAAATCCCGCGGAAAACCTTGGATTAATGATTTTCCTTTCCTCTGGCGCTGAGCAAATCTCTCCTCGTGTGTGAAACCCGAGCCTCCTGCTCCCTCTTGAGCCCACGGCCGGGGAGAATTCCGGTGATTACACCCGGAAAATCAGGGAGGGAAATCCTTTGGAAAAGGGATCCCGATCCCTCCCGGTCCTTCGCACGTCTCACCCCCCGATAAATCAACCTTAGCCCCAGATTAACCAAAAAAAAAAGAGAAAAAGAAGAAAAGAATTTTAAAAAAGGTGTTTTGAGCAGGAAGCCGCCCCCCAGGTTTCAGTCTGAGTGTTCCGAGCGCCGGAAAACCCGAAACCCCCAAAAAAACTCCGGCAGAGAATTAACGGCGGGTGAGCTGTTGACCGATTTCCTCAAAGTAAAAAAGAAAGAAAAAAAAAATAATTTCAGCGAGTTCCGAGGGCTCCGGAGTCTTGTGAAAAAAGGAAAGTTAAAAATAGGAAGGTCTGCGGTCAGCGGCTCAGCCCCGAGCCGTGAGAGCAGCGAGTTCCTGTGCAAAAGGAGAAGTGAAAGGAACAACAAAAGTAATTTTTTTAATAAATTTTGAATAAAGCCGCGCGGACGGGAGGGGGGAATTTAGGAATGAAGGGTCGGGAGGGAGGAATGAGCAGCAAAGGATGAGCCAAAAATTGCTCCAAGCTCCGTCCTCCCTTCAACTGATAAATTAGGAGTGAATCAATAAATTAATACGCGGATAAATTAAATTTATGAATGAATAAACGCGAATAAATCAACGGAAAGCAGCGGAAGGAGGCTGGTTCCTGGTTCAGACCTCGCGGGGAGGCTCGGGGCAGCCTGGCGCTCTCCCGGGGGGATTTTTGGGGCAGAAGCGAGGGAAAGAGGAGCTGCGGGCGGATTCCAGCCAAGCCGGTGAGTGACGGAGGAACTTTAATTTCCGCTTGATCTCCTTCCCGCCCCTGCCAGCCTGGTGGGGAGGGGGATTCTCTGTCCCTGTCCGGCCCGGCTGGGCTTTCAGGCCCGGTGCTAGACCCGGTATTAGACACGGGGCCAACCGAGCCCGGCTGCTCTGAGCAGCGGCGCCGCCCCGCTCTGCCTTCCCCCCGCAGCCCCGGCAGCAAGCGGAACCGGCCCGGTACCGGCCATGGCCGAGCGCGGCCCCGCCGGGAGCCTCCGCGCCCCGGCCTCCTGCCCGCTGTGCCTCGGCCTCTTCCAGGAGCCCGTGTCCATCCACCGCGGCCACAGCATCGAGCGCTGCTGGCGGAGCTCCCGGGACGGCTTCCCGTGCCCGCGGTGCCGGGAGGCGGCCCCGGAGCGCAGCCTGAGACCCAGCGCGGAGCTGGCCGCCGTCATCCGCGTGGCGCAGCGGCTGAGCCTCCGCGGAGCCGCGGAGCCGCCGTGCCGGAGGCACGGCCGGGCTCTGGAGCTGTTCTGCGAGGAGGAGCGGAGCCCCGTGCCCCGGAGCTCCCCGCGGCACCGGCGCCACGCCGCCGTGCCCATCGAGGAGGCGGCGCGGGAGCGCAAGGTGGGAGCCCTGCGGAGGGAGGAGGAGGAGGAGGGTGAGGCCGGGTGAGCCCTGTGGTCCCGGAGTTTTTTTGGGCGCTTTTCCCCCCACCCCCGGCGTGGCCGGATGGAGGGAGAGGCGCCGAGCCGCCGCTTCTCCCCCGCTCAGGAGAAACTCCAGGCTCAGGCGCAGATCCTCAGGGAAAGGAGGGAAAAGGTGCTGGGGATGAAGGCGGCGGAGGAAGGGAAAAGCTTGGACTTGCTGGTGAGTGACCCTTCGCTCGTCCCTGGGCCGCCCTCGCCGCCAGGAATTCCTCCCCGTGGATTTAGGGATCCCACCCAAACCCGGGTTTTTCCTGTTTATTGTGGGTCTTTGCCTCCCTCCAGGTGGGGCACGCCCCCAGATCCCCCCTGCCCATAGACAGAAAACGGGAATTACCCGATTGCCTCTATATTTTATTTTATTTTATTTTATTTTATTTTATTTTATTTTATTTTATTTTTTTATTTTATTTTATTTTTTCCCCCTGTTTTTCCCTTTTCCCCCATCTCTGGGGAGGACGCTCCCGCGTCCAAAGGTCCGGAGCCTTTTGGGTGCAAAGTTTGCGGAGCAGGGGGAAAATGCTTTGCCAGCAATCCCCGCCTAGAAATGGGGAAAGAAAGAAAGAACGAAGAGAAAGAGAGAAAGAGAAAGAGAAAGAGAGAGTGAAAGAGTGAAAGAGAGAGAGAGAGAAAGAAAGAAAGAAAGAGACAAAGAAAGAAAGAAAGAAAGAGAGAGAAAGAGTGAAAGAGAGAGAGAAAGAAAGAAAGAGAAATAGAGAGAAAGAGAGAGAGAGAGAGAGAAAGAAAGAAAGAAAGAAAGAAAGAAAGAGAAATAGAGAAAGAAAGAAATAGAGAAAGAAAGAACGAAGAGAAAGAGAGAAAGAGAGAGAGTGAAAGAGTGAAAGAGAGAGAGAGAAAGAAATAAAGAAAGAGACAAAGACAGAAAGAAAGAAAGAGAGAGAGAGAAAGAAAGAGTGAAAGAGAGAGAGAGAGAAAGAAAGAGAAATAGAGAGAAAGAGAGAGAGAAAGAGAAAGAGAGAAAGAAAGAAAGAAAGAGAAAGAAAGAAAGACGAAGAGAGGAAGAGAGGAAGAGAGGAAGAGAGGAAGAGAGGAAGAAAGAAAGAAAGAAAGAAAGAAAGAAAGAAAGAAAGAAAGAAAGAAAGAAAGAAAGAAAGAAAGAAAGAAAGAAAGAAAGAAAGAAAGAAAGAAAGAAAGAAAGAAAGAAAGAAAGAAAGAAAGAAAGAAAGAAAGAAAGAAAGAAAGAAAGAAAGAAAGAAAGAAAGAAAGAAAGAAAGAAAGAAAGAAAGAAAGAAAGAAAGAAAGAAAGAAAGAAAGAAAGAAAGAAAGAAAGAAAGAAAGAAAGAAAGAAAGAAAGAAAGAAAGAAAGAAAGAAAGAAAGAAAGAAAGAAAGAAAGAAAGAAAGAAAGAAAGAAAGAAAGAAAGAAAGAAAGAAAGAAAGAAAGAAAGAAAGAAAGAAAGAAAGAAAGAAAGAAAGAAAGAAAGAAAGAAAGAAAGAAAGAAAGAAAGAAAGAAAGAAAGAAAGAAAGAAAGAAAGAAAGAAAGAAAGAAAGAAAGAAAGAAAGAAAGAAAGAAAGAAAGAAAGAAAGAAAGAAAGAAAGAAAGAAAGAAAGAAAGAAAGAAAGAAAGAAAGAAAGAAAGAAAGAAAGAAAGAAAGAAAGAAAGAAAGAAAGAAAGAAAGAAAGAAAGAAAGAAAGAAAGAAAGAAAGAAAGAAAGAAAGAAAGAAAGAAAGAAAGAAAGAAAGAAAGAAAGAAAGAAAGAAAGAAAGAAAGAAAGAAAGAAAGAAAGAAAGAAAGAAAGAAAGAAAGAAAGAAAGAAAGAAAGAAAGAAAGAAAGAAAGAAAAGGAAGGAAGGAAGGAAGGAAGGAAGGAAGGAAGGAAGGAAGGAAGGAATTTTCTCTCGGCCCTGCCCAGGCCCTGCAGTTCCTGGGGTGCCCATTCCCCCTTCAGCCCCTCTGGCGGTTTCCCCGTTCTTCACCCGGCCCTTCCCGAGCAGGAGCGGGTGGCGGCGGAGCGGCAGCGGCTGCGCTCGGGGGTGCGGGAGCTGCGGGAGCTGCTGGCGGGGCGGGAGCGGCTCCTCCTGGCCCGGCTGGCCGAGCTGGAGCGGGACATCGCGGGGAGGAGGCGGGAGAGCCTCCGCAGCCTCTCGGGGCAGATCTCCGCCCTGGAACAGCAGATCCGCGAGCTGGAGGAGAAGTGCGGGCAGCCGCCCTGGGAGCTCCTGCAGGTGAGAGCGCAGACCTCAAACGCATCAGTCCCGAAGGGAATCCCAGGTTTGGGCAGGGGGGAACCCGCAGAGCACCCAGAACCCACCAGGGACTCTCCCACCGGGCTGTTTCTCCAATCCCTGTCCCTAAAAAAACTCCTTTTAAATCCTATTTCCCCCGTAATTATCCCCTTCGGTGCCCACAAAGCCATCCCAGCTGTGCACGGGAGTGCCGTGGGTCACCCCCAGGGCCCAGCCCGCTGGGGTGCACCCCACTGGGGTTCACCCCTGTCCAGTGGAGCCCCCCAGAAATGGCTGGGTTCCCCCGGCCACAGCTGGAAACCGCTGGTGCTCCCCCCGGTCTGGAGGTTGCCACCAAAGCCACCACCCGAGCCCGGCCCTGGGTCGATAATTAAATAGTCAAATGTGAAAAAGATTCAAATATCAAAAAATCCAAACATCAAAAAATCCAAACATCAAAAAATCCGAACATCAAAAAATTCAAACATCAAAAAATCCGAACATCCCAATGACGAAATATTCCAATATCCAAACATTCAAACAGCCAAACATTCAAATGTTTAAATATTCAGATATCCAAACGTTTAGACACCCAAACATTCAAACAAACAGCCAAACATTCAAACAAATAGCCAAATATTTAAACACACAAAGATTTAAAGAGCCAAACATTCAAACACCCAAACAATTAAACAGCCGAACATTTAAACAGCCGAACATTTAAACAGCCACACATTCAAACAGTCAAACATTCAAATGCCTAAATATTCAGATATCCAAACATTCAAACAGCCAAACATTCAAACAAATAGCCAAATATTTAAACACCCAAACATTTAAAGAGCCAAACATTCAAACACCCATACAATTAAATAGCCACACAAGCAAACAGCCAAACAGTCAAACAATTAAACAGCCAAACATTTAAACAGTCAAACAATTAAACAGCCACACATTCAAACAGCCAAACATTCAAACAGCCACACATTCAAACAAACAGTCAAATATTCAAACACTCAGATATTCAAATGAGCAGAGGCGTTCATTAGCAGCGGCCACGCCCCTCCAGCTGCCGCGACCTCACCCGAATTCCCGCAGATCCAGAACCCCTCCTTCGGGCCGGGCAGCGCCCCAGGGTCACCCCAGAGCCCTCCCTGCTTTTTCACCCCACCTCTGACCTGTCTGTCTGTCTGTCTGTCTGTCTCTCCCCTGCAGGACAGCAGCGACACCCTCAGCAGGTGTGTGGCTCCTCCTCGCCTGCATTGCCGACCCCAAAACCCCAACAATCCGTGACAGGGACACGGCTGGGACAGCACAAAAGTCCCGTGAGGATGCTGGAGGCCCGGCTCAGGTGCTGGGGAGGGGGGAAAGGTGCCCCCAGCTCTGCTGGAGCTGCTCGCTGACCCCTGAAAACCTCCCCGGAGGGATCAGCTCTGCCAAAAATCGGGGAGCCGACAGCTCAGAGGGGTGAATTCCAAGGGAATCCTGCAGATTTAACAGATCTGCTTGGGTCCCCTTCAGACTGGGGGCGTGGGAAGGAGGGAAGTGGGCGAGGAAAGTCGCTTTTGTTCCCTGATTTCCACTGGCAGAAAATTTCCACAATCCATGGAGTCCTCAGCCAGGAAAATGCTCTCCAGGATCCCCTTGATGAGGAGCAGATCCCAAAAACCTCCTGTAGATGCCAAACCCGGGAGGAATGGGGTTACAGAGTGCTGGAAACTCGGGATGGTTTGGGTTGGGAGGGGCCTTCCCAGGGGCCTTCTCCATTCCCTGGTTTTTGTGGAGAAAATCTTCTCCTGCTTTCCAGGCTGGAGGAGCAGAGCGCTCCCGAGCCCCAGGAGACGCCACCAGAGCGGGCAGAGGAACCCACGGGGCTGCCGCAGGAAAAATTCACCCTCAAAGAGATGCTGAAGGAGTTCCAAGGTATGGGGGGCCGGGGCCGGGGGGTGGCACCGTGGGAAATCACCCCCCAAAGGCCAGAATCCCAGATATTTCCACGTGGCAGCCTCAGAAAGGAAAGCCGTGGGACACCCAGGAAAAGCCCCGCACTCCAGAGCCTCGTGTTTGCTCCAAGCCAAATTCCCTCTGCTGGGATTTCCCTTTTCTCCCAATTTCCCTTTTCAAAGGGAAAACATTCTCTGCAAATTTCCCTTTTCAAAGGGAAAAAATTATCTGCAAATTTCCCTTTTGGATTGCAGAATTTCTCTGAGATTTTCCCTTTTCAACGGGAAAAAATTCTCTGCAAATTTCCCTTTTGGATTGCAGAATTTCTCTGCGATTTTCCCTTTTCAAAGGGAAAAATTTCTCTGAGATTTTCCCTTTTCAAAGGGAAAAAATTCTCTGCAAATTTCCCTTTTGGATTGCAGAATTTCTCTGCGATTTTCCCTTTTCAACGGGAAAACATTCTCTGCAAATTTCCCTTTTCAAAGGGAAAAAATTCTCTGCAAATTTCCCTTTTGGATTGCAGAATTTCTCTGCGATTTTCCCGTTTCAAAGGGAAAAATTTCTCTGAGATTTTCCCTTTTCAAAGGGAAAAAATTATCTGAAAATTTCCCTTTTGGAAGGGAAAAATTTCTCTGAGATTTTCCCTTTTCAAAGGGAAAAAATTCTCTGCAAATTTCCCTTTTGGATTGCAGAATTTCTCTGCGATTTTCCCGCTTCAAAGGGAAAAATTTCTCTGAGATTTTCCCTTTTCAAAGGGAAAAAATTCTCTGCAAATTTCCCTTTTGGATTGCAAAATTTCTCTGCGATTTTCCCATTTCAAAGGGAAAAATTTCTCTGCAATTTTCCCTTTTCAAAGGGAAAAAATTCTCTGCAAATTTCCCTTTTGGATTGCAAAATTTCTCTGCGATTTTCCCATTTCAAAGGGAAAAATTTCTCTGCAATTTTCCCTTTTCAAAGGGAAAAAATTCTCAGCAAATTTCCCTTTTCTGCTCTCCCAGTCCCACAAACCACCCCTGGAGCCTCCCAGACGGGGGAAGGTGGGACAAACCCGACCCCAAAGGTGGAACAAACCCAATTCCAAATGTGGTACAAACCCGACCCTAAATGTGGAATAAATCCCACCCCAAAGATGGGACAAACCCCACCCTAGGGGGGGACAAACCCAACCCCAAAGGGGGAAAAAACCCAACCCCAAAGGGGGAAAAAACCCAACCCCAAAGGGGGAAAAAACCCAACCCCAAAGGGGGAAAAAACCCAACCCCAAAGGGGGAAAAAACCCAACCCCAAAGGGGGAAAAAACCCAACCCCAAAGGGGGAAAAAACCCAACCCCAAAGGGGGAAAAAACCCAACCCCAAAGGGGGAAAAAACCCAACCCCAAAGGGGGAAAAAACCCAACCCCAAAGGGGGAAAAAACCCAACCCCAAAGGGGGAAAAAACCCAACCCCAAAGGGGGAAAAAACCCAACCCCAAAGGTGGAACAAACCTGACCACAAAAGTGGAATAAACCAAACCCCAAATGTGGAACAAACCCAACCCCAAAGGTGGGACAAACCCAACACCAAAGGTGGAATAAAACCAACCCCAAAAGTAGGACAAACCCCACCCTAGGGTGGGACAAACCCAACCCCAAAGTTGGGACAAACCCAACCCCAAAGGTGGAACAAATCCAACCCCAAAAGTAGGACAAACCCCACCCCAAAGTTGGGACAAACCCCACCCCAAAGGTGGAACAAGCCCAACCCCAAATGTGGAATAAACCCCACCCCAAAGATGGAACAAACCTGGCCCCAATGTTGGGACAAACCCAACCCCAAGGGTGGGACAAACCCAACCCCAAAGATGGAATAAAACCAACCCCAGCTGGGACAAACCCCACCCCAAAGTTGGGACAAACCCAACCCCAAAGGTGGGATAAACCCCACCCCAAAAGTAGGACAAACCCCACCCCAAAGTTGGTACAAACCCCATCCCAAAGTTGGGACAAACCCCACGCCAAGGGTGGGACAAACCCCAACCCCAAATGTGGAACAAACCCCACCCCAAAGGTGGGACAAACCCAACCCCAAAAATGGAACAAACCCCACCCCAGGGTGGGACAAACCCCACCCCAAATTTGGGACAAACCCCACGCCAAGGGTGGGACAAACCCCACCCCAAAGTTGGGACAAACCCAACCCCAAAGTTGGGACAAACCCCACCCCAAAGTTGGGACAAACCCCACCCCAAATTTGGGACAACCCAACCCCAAATTTGGGACAAACCCCACGCCAAGGGTGGGACAAACCCCACGCCAAACCTCTGGGGCCTCCAGGCCCACAGCCCTCCCTCGCCCCGCAGTCAGCCTGACGCTGGATCCCGACACGGCGCACCCGCGGCTCGCCGTGTCCGAGGACGGCAAGCGCGTCCGCTGGGAAGACGCCCGCAGACGCGTCCCCGACCACCCCAAACGCTTCGACTCCTCGCGCTGCGTGCTGGGCCTCCAGGGTTTCACCTCCGGCCGCCATTACTGGGAGGTGCGGGTAGGCCGCGGCGCCGCGTGGGCCGTCGGCGTGGCCAGGGAGTCCGTGGCCAGGAAAGGCCGCGTCAGCATCAAGCCCGAGCTGGGCATGTGGGCCGTGGGGCGCTGCGGGAGCCGGTGCCAGGCCCTGGCGTCGCCCAGCGTGCCCATCGCCCTGCCCCGAGCCCCCGAGGTGGTCGGGGTCTACCTGGACTACGAGGGCGGGCGAGTGGCGTTCGTGGACGCGCGCGGCCCGGCGCCGATGTTCGCGTACCCCGCCGCCGGCTTTGGGGGGGAGAGGGTCCTGCCCCTGCTGTGCCTGGGGAGGGGGTGCCGCTTCAGGCTGTGCCCCTGAGCCCCCCCGGGGGTCCCTCGGGGAGCCCGGATTTGCCACCTGAATCCTTGGAGGGTTCGGGTGGAAAATTCCCTTTTTTCCGTCATTTCTCCGTCATTTCTCCGTCATTTTCTCCATCATTTCTCTATCATTTCTCCATCATTTCTCCATTATTTTCTGCATCATTTTTCCCATAATTTCTGTATAATTTCTGTATAATTTCTCCATCATATCCCCATAATCTCTCCATAACTTTCTCCATCATTTCTCCATAATTTCTCCATAATTTTATGCATAATTTCTGCATCATTTTCTCCACCATTTCTCCTTTTTTTTTCTGCATAATTTCTGCATAATTTCTGCATAATTTCTCCATAATATCTCCATAATTTTCTCCATCATTTTCCCCATAATTTCTGCATCATTTTCTCCATCATTTCTCCATTATTTTCTGCATCATTTTCCCATAATTTCTGCATAATTTTTTGCATAATTTCCCCATCATTTTCCCCATAATTTCTCCATCATTTCTCCATAATTCTCCATAATTTTCTGCATATTTTCTGCATAATTTTCTGCATCATTCTGCATAATTTCTCCATAATTTTCTGCATCATTCTGCATAATTTCTCCATCATTTTCTCTATAATTTCTGCATAATTTCTGCATAATTTCTCCATCATTGCCACCATCTCCATTTTCCTGCAAGGAGAAGCCGCGGCTGGGTCACAGAAATTCTGGTTTGAGGTCGGGGGAGGCCTTTGGTAATCGTTTTATAAACGGAATAATAATTTGCGAAAAGGGGATGAATACTTCAAAAAAGAGGAGCAATAATTGGAAAAGGAATAACAATTTTATAGAGGGAAAAGGAGTTTTTAGAAAGAGATTAATGCTTTGAAAATGGGAATAATGATTTTAAAAAAGGAAGCAACAATTCAAAACCAGAAATAATAATTTACAAAGGAATAATCATTTGAAAAAGGGAAAGCCCGGCAGGAAAAATGGATTTTTTTTTTTAATTTCCCCAAAAATTAGCCCTGTCAGGAGTGGGATTTGAACCCACGCCTCCATGAGGAGAAGCGCCGAATCCTAGCCACTAGACCACCAGGGAGCCGATTTCAGCCCAAATTTTACCATTCTCGGGGATTTTTTAGCAGCTAAAATCGCCCCAAATCCGCCTTTCCCATCAGCCTCGGGACCGCGCTTCGCTCCTGGAGAGGGATTAACCAAAAATAGGAAAAATCATGGAGAAATGGGAATTGATTTAAAAATCCCCCCCAAATAATAATTCAGGGTAATAATCAAAAACAGGAGAGAGCAATTTAGCAGCTGAAATCGCCCCAAATCCGCCTTTCCCATCAGCCTCGGGACCGCGCTTCGCTCCTGGAGAGGGATTAACCAAAAATAGGAAAAATCATGGAGAAATGGGAATTGATTTAAAAATCCCCCCCAAATAATAATTCAGGGTAATAATCAAAAACAGGAGAGAGCAATAAAAACGATTAAATGTATTCAATAAAAATAGCAAAATTGGTTCAAGCAAGAGGATTTATCTCAAAATTGTCCCACCTGGTGGCCCGGTGGTCCGCGGGCCGCATTCCCGCGGGAAAAAAATTCCCAAAATTTGGGAAAAAAAATCCAAAAAACGGCTGAATTCTTCAAAAATCATAATTTTTAACCTCGGCGTGCCCCAATACCCGGTGGACCCAGTGTTTGTGACTTAAAGAATTTGATATTAAAATTTTAATATCAATATGAATAGTATAAAATTTAGCGCTTAACGTTTAATATTTATTTAATATTATTAAAATTAATATTGTAAAAATTGTAATAATTTATTATTTTAATAAAAATCAATCTTAATGTTATAAAATTTTAAAAAAGAGAATTAAAAGGGAAGCTTTTCTCCCGGGGTTTGGAGATTTTCGGGAGCCGCCCCAGAGGGAATTTGGGTTCCGATATTCCAGAATATTCCAGAAAAGACACAAAAATCCCAAAATCGGAGTTTCTGTAGTGTAGTGGTTATCACGTTCGCCTCACACGCGAAAGGTCCCCGGTTCGAAACCGGGCAGAAACAACAAATTTTTGGGTTTTTTTCCCCTTTTATTTTCCTGGCCCTGGTGTGGGTTTTGGGGGAAAAAAAAAACCCTAAAAGCAAGGAAGGAAGGGAAAAAAAAGGAAAAAAAGTCCAAGGGATGTAGACAACACTGCCAGGAAAAGGAAAAATAAGCTTTTTATTTTTAAATTTTATTTTATTTTGTTTTTTTAAATTCCCAGGAAATTCTTTCTGGAGGTTAAAGCACCCAGGTTTCTGTAGTGTAGTGGTTATCACGTTCGCCTCACACGCGAAAGGTCCCCGGTTCGAAACCGGGCAGAAACAGCGATTTTTTATTGGTTTTTTCCCCCCTTTTTTCGGGCCCCGGGGTGGGTTTTGGGGAGAAAAACGCTGAAATCAAGGAAAGAAGGAAGGGAAAAAAGGGGTTAGGGATGTAGACAACAGTACCAGTAAAAGGAAAAATAAACTTTTTTTTTTTTTTTTTTTCCTATTTAAATTCCCAGGATATTTTCAGGAGACCAAAGCACCCAGGTTTCTGTAGTGTAGTGGTTATCACGTTCGCCTAACACGCGAAAGGTCCCTGGTTCGAAACCAGGCAGAAACACACTTTTTTGGGGGGTAATTAACTCCTTTTCCCATCCCCTCGCCTGCTCAGGTTTAATTTCGGGGCGATTTTGGGGTAATTAACTCCTTTTCCCATCCCCTCGCCTGCTCAGGTTTAATTTCGGGGTGATTTCGGGGTAATTAACTCCTTTTCCCACCCCCTCGCCTGCTCAGGTTTAATTTCGGGGCGATTTTGGGGTAATTAACTCCTTTTCCCATCCCCTCGCCTGCTCAGGTTTAATTTCGGGGCGATTTTGGGGTAATTAACTGCTTTTCCCACCCCCTCGCCTGCTCAGGTTTAATTTCGGGGCGATTTTGGGGCTGTTCCGAGCAGCATTTCTTGCGTCTGCTTCCCAGAGGGGAAATTATTTTTTTTTTTTTTTAAATCAAATAATCACAGGGAAAATTCCCATTTCCACCAAACCCCGTCCTTGCCCACCCCCGGCCAAGACGGAGAGGAAATTTGAATTTAAAATGTCCAAATCCAGCCACTCCTCGGTGTTGCGCCCACAGGGGCGATCCCCGCGTGCCGGAAAACCGAGTTCCATCCCCCCGCTTTAAAATTTTGGGTTTGTTCGTACCCAGGACAAGCTCCAAAAAATAAAAAAAAAATAAATAAAAGGTATTTTGTGGAGGGGGAGAGGAGGCTGCGGTCACGCGTTCCTGCTCCGGGGTGGAATTGTTTGTTCTTGGGAACAACCTGACCTGGAGCAGCCCCACGCTCCCTCCCGGCCCAGCTTTTGTCGGAGTTCTTGGCTCCGTGTTTCCCATTTTTCCCAGAAATTCCGGCCTTTTCCCTGCTGGAATTCAGCCCCCTCACCCTCCTCCGTTTTTATTCCAGTTTTATTCCGATTTTATTCCGATTTTATTCAGATTTTATTCCAATTTAATTCCAATTTAATTCCAATTTAATTCCGATTTCATTCCGATTTTATTCCAATTTCATTCCAATTTTATTCCAATTTCATTCCAATTTAATTCAAATTTTATTCCGATTTTATTCCAATTTTATTCCGATTTTATTCCATTTTATTCCGATTTAATTCCAATTTCATTCCAATTTCATTCCAATTTAATTCCAATTTTATTCCAATTTCATTCCAATTTTATTCCAATTCCGGCGGAGCCGGGCTGACAGCGCTGCCTGCAGGGAAAAACTGGGGCACCAAAAAAGCAATAAAATGACCCAAAATCCCGGTGAAATTCAAAGGCTGGGCTCCTCCCGGGTTTGTGGGGCTGCTGGAATGTCCATAATCTGCTTTTTTCCCCTTTTTCCCCGCATTCTGGGGTGTTTCCCCCCCGCGCGGAAAGCGCGGGGATGAGCCCAACCTCTGGAAAACCGGGAAAACTCCTCAATTCTGGTTTAGTTTCGGGCAGGGTGGGGTTAAAAAATGGCTTTTTTGGGGTGATTTCTGCGCTCGCGGGGGCCTGAGGAGGCGCCGAGGAGGAGCCAGCGGGGGGTGAGGCAAGGATGGGTTAAATTGGGGGGATTTTAGCGCTTGGAGGGTGAGGAAAAAGGGGGGGATTGCACAGAAACCCTTTTTTTAGCAGATTTAACCCCAAAAAAATCTTTTATTTAGGTCATTCTACAGTAAATGAAGGAGCTAATGGAGCTCCCTGGTGGTCTAGTGGTTAGGATTCGGCGCTCTCACCGCCGCGGCCCGGGTTCGATTCCCGGTCAGGGAAGGAATTTTTTGTCCAAAATATTTTATTTTCTTTTTTTTTAAAATAATCTTTCCAGAATTTAACATCTCCTAACCCCCCAAAACGTCCCTCTTCTCCTCTTTTTGCACCTCTCCATTCCCGCGAGACCTCCCCTTCCACCCGCCCCAGGTCCGCCTTTTACTGAGAAATATTTAAAAAAAAAAAAAAAAAATTGAAAAAGGGAAATAAATTGAAAAAGGGAAGGATAATTTGTAAGAGCGAGCCGTGGTTTGGAAGAGGGAACGATAATTTGGAAAAAAAAAAAAAAAAAAAAGGGGGGGGAAAAATTTTAAAAAGGGGAAAAAAAAATAAAAAAGAAAAGTCTTCAATTACTTTTCCGAATGAAAGGGAGTCATGGTACTTTAATTAAACATTTAATTGAAGAGAGAAAAAAAAAAAAAAAGAAAGAGGGAGGGATAAGTTTTGAAAAGGGGAAAAAAAATTGAAGAAGGAATAATAATAATAGTAATAATAAAACGAGTAATGATGTAATAATGTAATAATAGTAATAATAGTAATAGTAATAGTAGTAATAATAATAATAGTAATAATAATAATAATAATAATAGTAGTAACAGTTTTGGAACGCGAAAAAAGATTTTTAGTATTAAAAAAAAAATTAATTTAAAGGTTTTATCTTCAGCGGAAGCAGCAGCTG